CAGGGGCGTCAGACCAAGGTGCCCCAGCTGCTGCCCCCTCTGTAGCCTGTGGACACCCATCCTGGCAGGGGCGTCAGACCAAGGTGCCCCAGCTGTTCCACGCAGCTCTGCAGGATCCCCTCTGAGCCCCACGCCTCGGACTTTCAGAGGAGAAATGAGTGTTGAGATTGAATCTCATGGTTGTGGGTTACTGTTGTTTTTAAAATGGAGATGGGGAAAGGGAACATGCCAGTGAACCACCAGACCTGCCCCCGGTGCCGTGGAGTCGGCTGTGACTCGGCCATCCCGTGCTTTACGGAGCCGAGCTGTGCCTTGCTGGTCCTCACGGCTGGGACCCTTTGGAAGCACATCAGGCCTCTCTGCCAAGCCGCCTCTGGGTGGGGATCCAGTCACCAACCTTCCAGCTTGTAGTCGAGCATGTTAACCGTTTGCACCACCTGGGGGCTGCCAGCGTGTTGATACCGCTGCCGTCAAGTCGGTTCCAACCCATAGCGACCCTGAAGGAGTAGCAGTGTCCCACAGGGTTTCCGAAGCTGTTGTCTTTCTGGAATCAGACTGCCACGTCTGTTTCCTGCAGAGTGACGGGTAGATTCCAACCGCTGACCTTTCAGTGCCCAGCCAGGCACTTGAACAGCTGCCCCACCAGGGCACTGATGTGTCAACCAGGAAGGTCAGTGTTTTGATGGAAGGACTTGTCTACCAGAGGCTGGACACTGTGGCCTGCTGGTCAGTGCCGACAAATGCCCCAAACACGCCTGGTGAGAACCCTCTGTTGCTGGCGAGGACTCGAGGTGAGGTCACTGCGTCGGCTCACTGAGGGAACGTCACACACACAGATCTCACGGTTCCAGGCAGTCTTGTTCTTTATTGCGGGTGTTTTTATACCACTTCACGTCGATTGGAGCTTTCCTGTGTGCTAGGCACTGGGCTCTGGTAGCATAGTGCCTAATACACTTGACTGCTAACCAGAAGGCTGGCGGTTCAAACCCACCAGCCACTCCT